TAAGATTAATTTCCTAACATGTTCAACTCAGACATGAACACGATATAGCTATTACAGCACCAATCGGTGAGGTCCTTACATATTTTTGAAGACATTTCAAACTAACAAATGACATCACTCAAAACCCTGCAGTAGATTCTTGTGTGATTTGGTCAGACCAGTTCCAATAGTCACTGTAGAAGACCACACAGAAAACAAACCCTGAAGTTATTGCCTGAGATTGGATAAAGTCGTGACTGCCTCAAGTGGAGTGCTGTGAGTGGCAATAAAGGCAGTCACATCCTTGCTGTTACCTAGCCCTCTCACTTCTGCTGGCTAGTATCTAAATGCTAAATTGTATTATCTCTGGCCAGGATATCTGTTTGTATGAACGTTGTCGGAACCCTTGTTTTGATACCCAGACATCGCTGAAGTGGAAATAAGCAACAAGAGATGAAATTCTAAATGAACAAAATTATCCATGTATGACTCAAAATTGTGAGAGAAGTGGATAAATAGAAGGGATGAACATACCTATAAATGTATGTATAATATATGTCTGTGTGACAGGGTATATATATAAAGATCACCCTTGTTTTTGTCAAACAAGGACTTCACTTCATTCATCCCCCTCTCCCCCAACCTCTAATTTTACCCGGATGGTCACGAACAAGCACTGAATAAAGGCTGCCTCAAAAACTTCAGTAAACTCTACAGGAACAGACAGCAGAGAATGTTTAACTTCTTCCTAAGGTGTTTACAGCTATGATGGGGGGTTTTGCAGATATGATGATGTTTCTGATTTAGGAGGTGCTGTTCAGAAATTATTCTGATTATATCCAATATAGGCCTACGAGGAGGAGAACCTGCTGACTAGAAAGAAGTTTGAGTGTCTTGCAGCTGAGCCACCTAGTCCATCTCACCACCTTCCCCTGGGGATGGGAGATTTTAATGGCTGTGATTCTGAACTCCACGTGGTCTCTACACTGTGAAGCTACGTAAGCATAGATTACAAACTCTATAATTAACTTACGGATACGGTAGAACCATCTATTTAAAATGGTAGTGTCACTACAAAACTTGCCTTTCTGTCTCTTTTCCTTCATTCACTTGTGCTATGTGGCCCCGGTACCTTCTTTGCATGAGACAGTAACCACTAAGTGCCTGACAGAAACCATAGTGACCAGTGAGGTGTGTTTCTGTAAGCCTGATTCTCCTTTTCAAGTCATTTTAGGTCAGTCAGTGGGATGGGAGTTACAGGGGTGTTTGTAGCTGTCACTCTAGCACTACTCTGTTCCCTTTTAGAAAACTTTTACATAACAAATAAAGCTGCTGTCACAGTATGTTTCCTGTGTTTAAGAACAGATGTTTGCTGGAATATAGGAGCTAAAACCTCCGGGTACTTGACAGTGATTTAGACTCATTGGAGTGCCTCGGCAGGCATGCGGTGTTTGGCTGCAGCCTTCTTTCCATTGTGGGGGGAAGAGAGAAACCATTCCACCTACAAGCCAATGTCCACAGACCCCTTACCTGGCATAGACCCAACAGGCTAGAGTAGCTCACATGGAACATGATCTAAACATGATAGCATAGCTTTGGAGCCACTTTGCAACTGGGTTTATTGCTGCATTTACAGAACACCACATCTGAGCCAAGATACTCCCCGAGAGACAAACTGGTGCTGGCTTTGAGCTGGGAGCATCCTGCAGATACACAGGCAGAACTTCCTAGCTCAGGATATTTGATGGGGAGGTTTGGTCTGGCTCCTTGCTTGTATGACACCGTGACTGCGCTAAAAAATCCCTCTCTGAATTAAATGGGAACAAAATGACCTGGTCAGACTGTACCAGAGGCAGTGCAGTGCATCTCAATGATCAGGTAAGAATTTTTGTTACAGGATCTGCTGCCTGAACAAAACCCTGCTTTCTCTATAAGGCAGCTACTCTACTAATGCATACAGGCTACCAGTAGTTCATGTTCTCTCTTTTATGGTGTATTTAAAATATCGGTGCTCTGACATTCATGTCCAGCTCTAAATACGCTTGCTACAAGCTGGGATTTCAGTGGCTTCTGTGAGGTGCTTTAGATTGCATAAATCTAAATTGAACATACCAGGATTGTACTCATTTCATGGATCAAGTCGAGTGTAACAGGAAGACAGTCATCGGAAAGGCAACAAGTTACTGACAGACATCTGGCAGGCAATGAAAAGGAAAGTCATGAATCTGCTCCTTTACTTTCCCTTTCACACTCTTCTGTTTAGATTAACAAAATCTGCATGGGAAAAATCATGAAATCATATGTAGAAACATATAGTTCCACATATACGGGCTATACCTTAATGCAAACTCTTCTGTCCCATTAATGAAGACCCCCATTGTTAACAATAACTCATCCTCCCGATTGCAACAACTAAGAAAACATTATATTGATAGAAAATACTATTGAAATGTTGTTGTGGGTTTTCATATTCTGCAATTCAGTTTTATCCTTCAAAACAAGCTACTTGGAAATGCAACTAATGGTATTCAGCATTTGTTTTGAGAGCTATATTAAATACAAGTAGCTGTTTGTACCCACAGAGGATGGGGAAAAGAAAGACAGGAAAGAAGTTAAACTCACTAGGATACAATGGAGAATGAAAATACTTTTCCCCGAGTTTCTTAATAACCTTTCTGGACTAACAAAACTTTAACTTGCATCATCAAGACAAACAGTAAGAGGAACAGTAGACAACAGGTGTAAGAAATTAGGCCAAGTCTGGGAACTAGCCTTTGACAAGGTCTTGTCCCTAAAATGCACACACAACTTCAATAAATTTCCCAAGTTCTCACTACTGTATACAAGGGAAGGAAAGCAAGAGGAGTATTTTTCTCAGTTCCTATTTATATTGATCAAGAACACAAGGCAAAAATACAACTAAGGCAAAACTTTATTTTTTTTTTTTTGTAGAAAGAAAAATGAAGCAGTCTTATAATTAAGCCATATTTTCGAGGTTTCTTCTGCAGCAGAACCTTCACCAAGCCTCACTAAACTGACAGTCTTACTCAGTGCATCTTGTTTTCAAGTAAAGCAAAAATCCCAAATGAGATTACAAGTGGCTATTTGGAATATTTCTTCTGACCATGGCACCCAAATGCCCATTAAAGGGGGGATAACAGCCACCACTATTTTTACTCACCCACTTCTTAAACTGTATCAATCGTACCAAACCTTTTTCCAGTTGCTACCCCACTTATTTTTTCACTTTGCACAATCCCAAATATTAGTGAAACTACTGCATTTTTGTCAGTTCCACAACTCGGCTCTTGGATGCTGGCACCTAGTTCAGAAACTGCTGTCCTAACCCAAATTAATGTTAAATTATTATACATTTGAAGGTCAGTACAACGTACACATACATCTTCACGCTACACTTGCCTGTTAGGCAAATGCAATATTACAGTATTAATGTTACTTGCACTTAAGTAAAAGCGGTATTCTTATTTGTCTGCAAAGCAAGAGATTTTGAATGGTATTGTGAATTACATGTATACGTGTTCCTTCTGTAGTCTCATACTAGCAATATGTATACACAATTTAAGCAATGAAATGGTTTTTAGCTTGTTCTGTGTACAGGACACTTGCTACATGCCCTAATAGTCAGTTATCTGAAAAAAAAACCAAACCAACCAAAACCAAAAACCCAAACAAAACTGTGTAGTAGTGCTTTAATATTCATTTGTTAAAATCCAAAACAGCCTTATGTTAGCTGTTAGGTAGTTACCAGTCTCTTCCAAAGACACGGAGTAATAGAGAAAAAATTCTATCCTTAAGCAGCATCTGAGAAAACAACTTAATGTAGCTGCCACTTAGTGGCAGCAATCATTTAGGCATTTTTGGTATTGATACATCTCTTTGTCATATAATTTGTGCATTAATCAACAAAAATGTAGGCCCCAATCCAGCAAATACTTGCATGTGTGCAAATGCTTTTCTTCCACGTGGAATATTTCAAGTTAAGACTCATCAGATGAGCAAAATTAAGAACTTGCATAAATCTTTACAAGAGGGGAATTCTTAATGCATAAAACTTAACTGTATTATTTCACAGGACTAAGATCCAATTCTAGATTTAGAGAATGTAGGAAACACTCCTATAAAGAACAGATATGTTGCTTTAAGATAAATGCTTCCAAACCCAACAAGAGCCATTAGAAATGTGTGTGCCTCCTCTCTGAACACTGTAATCCTACTTGGAGTAATGTGGGTCCAGTCTTGTTGCCCTAGCTCCTGGCTACTGCATGAGGAATCAATAAAGTGCTTGTCACAAATTCCGCAGCTGTGGAATAAAATAAAATTTAAGTACCTTCAGAATGTTTTCAGATTTATAAACTATGAATTAAGGGCTGATGTCTGATCCCAGCATGTTTCCCTGAATTGATAACAATTATTACGTTCTTCATTCTGAAGATAAATTAGAATTCTGCTAGGACTAGGTAGATTTCACCTTTATCCCAGTGAAGTCACCTTCTACCTCCAGGGGAAAAGCTTAACTGGATTTTATTTCAATGTAAATGTTCATGCTTGACCAAAATGTGATGCTCATGCAATTTCACAAGCACCAGCATTCAATGTGACAGTTAGCTTTGTTTAGTCAAACATGAAGCACCAGTATTGTTTACAGTATATCCATTCTGAATTGTGTTTATAATTTGTTCCCAAATGCACCATAATCCTGAGAAGTCTTGCTTGCCCTTTGACCTTTCCTTTGATGGGGTTTGTTCCTCTTGAATAAAGTATCTTTGATATTAGCTTTGATATAAATTGTATTGATCTTTGTGGCATCTTCTCATTAACATACTTCTGAATATTTAAATTACTAAAACTTTCTCTTTAGATAGATACATACATATATTTTAAACTTTTTGCTAGCTTTCAGATAATTAATCTATGAGAACTGGCTTAGACTCTATGCTCTCTGTAGAGAGCTTCTGTATGCTCCTCATACAAAAACAAATGATGGTTTGAAATATCTAGCCATGTGTTTGGATGATTTTTTTTTTTTTAAAGGCTTCGGTGTTGCTTATATTTATCTTCCAGTCAGCTACAGGATAATAGCAACAGCAAACACATTGACAATGCAGTTCATTGTTCGGTTTTCCCATCTCACTGTGCAGGTTCCTAGAAGAGATTATTACAAAATTAAAATAGAATGCCAGTATCTTTACTACATTCACTTTATTGCAGTGTAAATTATGTCTAATTAGTATGAATAATTCAGCTATGATTTAAGGTAAATACTATTATGTCATCTTGGCTATAAATGGACTACACTCCTCAAAACATTTTCATTAACTTGTAAATTGTTTACTGCCTAACATGAGCCTTGTATGCTTAAGACAGTTTCCAGGAAAACACAATTTCAGTATCTCTCTTTAAAAGCTGGACTTGCAAAAATCCTTGAAAATCTCATACTGAAATTGGCAAGATAATTAGAGGAGAAATCAGAAAAAAGACTAGATCAAATACATTCTCATGTATTTACCTTCTGTAATTTTTCCTCTTCTACTGTATTAAGGCCTTACAAGCCAAGGAAACATGAAGATTAAACTGCACTTGTCTACTTACCTTCATTTTATGATTTTTTTTTTTTTTTTACCGTTGGTTGACTTTCTAATGCCATCTCTATTTTAAAGTTAAATCTTGGTACCCTCTTCTAAAAAGACCTTTCTGAGTCTGTGACAGACATAAGATTATTTTAATCTTGTTTCCCCATGATACTTTGAACCTGGGAAAAAATGCATTTAGAACTAATTTAGAAGCAGTAAAACATATCCAAGGCCTGGCTGATAGTTAAGCAACTGAAACACATACTGTTAGTCAAACTATTTCTGTCAAAGTTCTGTCCTCCTCCCAAGTAGTGCTGCCCCCTTACAGCAGACAGGCAGATATGTTTAGGAGTACCCACTTGCATTTACTTCGAGCAATGTTTTACTACCTCTTCAACTAATCTATGGTCACTGACGAGGATTGAATGTTTTGACTCTTGTTTCAGAATGAAGGCATTTCTACTCCTGCTTCTCATAATTTACAAAGCAATCGCTCTTAATGCAGGCACCAACTGCTAATAAAATATTTCTGCTGGGATTGTAAACAAGCATCTATTCCTGGAAGCTACTGCTTCTACAATCACTCTTGAAAATGTTCAACCTAACTATTACAACTGAGCATTAAGTGACATTTCTTTTACTACAAATTTTTAATCTGAGTGAGGAAAGTTACCATCAGTTGTAGTATCCCAGAAGCATGAGCTTGCTGTGTGAAGACCAGCTCCACTCTTCTGCATCACCGCACAGGTTACTGCAAGATACAGTCATAAAATCAAGGAATTAATTATTAAAGCAGAAGAGGTGAATCATTCGGTACTTCTGAACTCAAGCCTGCGTAACATTTTCAAATGGCTAGCAGATGGCATTCAGCTAAATCAAAACCTTTTTTGAAACCCTCCTCGCCCCCAGTATTTTCCTCAAGAACTTGGTATCCATTTCACTATTATTTTTACTTGCATAAAGACAATGGGTTTAACAAAATCCTTGCTAATAGGATTATGTTTTTTATCTTTTAAACTACTTAGATATGGCTTGTGTCATGTGCACCTCAGAACGGGACTGCAGGTGCTGTCCTCACAGGCACAGCAGAAGTTGCACTTGATGAGAGCTCTTTCCCAAAAGTACTGGCTGACTGCTCCCTGAAACCACATTCTAGTAACAGGCAGCATTTCTAGACTGACCTGCAATGGCCACAAAAGCAGGGACAATCTGAATCCAAGAGTTTCAAAACAGAACACAGTGCAAACACTTGCTATTACATCAACGCTCCGCAAAAGGACCAAAGTGGGTTAAACTGCTACTTATTTCCATTTCCCTTCCACAGACGTGCATATAATGGGACATGACTTAGCGTACAGGACTAAAGTCTTTCAAATGTCCGTATTTACAGGGAGCTTAATCCTACTGAAAATTTTATTTAAGATAAGCAATTATTTCCTGAAGTGATACCAACAAGTTGATATTATTGTTTTGGGGTTGCTTAACAGTCATGAAAGACTGTGTAACATGTCATCTTCTGTGCTAAGTGTTGCTAGCATGCTTAGCCCAGGTGAAACTGCCATGGTTTTACCACAGGTATTACTAAAAATCTACATAATGAAAGAGTTCAGGTATCTGCTCTGCTTTGTTTACTGTTTAAAACTTTCTATTGAATATAGCTCTGCATTCAAATGAACCTTTCAGCAATTATTTATTGTGATTGTATGTGGTAAGAGTATGACTGCTTGTACTTACCAATGTACTTGTATGTTTTTCCGAGTTTTACCAGATGTGTCAGCGACTGTTCTACTATAGCAGCAGTCCACTGGTTGACTTTGTTGTGATTATAATCCGCCTTGCCTAAAACACTTTCTATGCACTAAAATAGAGGGGAAAAAAATAGTTACAGTAAACATACTTCAAAACGTAGAGGTTTAAAATGTCTTGCATAATCTGAGGAATTTTATCTGGCAATTGGATTACTTTAAATCACTTGAGCTCATCAGTATCAGTTGCTGAATGGGAAGAAAAATGATCCATCTCAGAAACTTATTTTTAGTACATATTTACCACATTATTACACAGAGAAAAATGAGGCTCTGAGTGAACATTTCTTGTAGAAAAGACCTTAGCCATACGCTTTAAGCACCAAGTTTTAAGTGAATGGATCTATTTACCAGTGAAGATACTAGCACATCCCACTGTTCCTAATGACTGCCTACTCCAGCTTGGCTTTCCAAAGCTACTGTAATGGAAATGGTACTACTCAAATCAATAATGTCAGCTTAGGCTGGCCAACATTTCAGAGCCTGTGAGCAATATACCAAAATCTTTAGAGGTAGAGCGACAACAGTGAAATGCATACCCTAGCTTAAAAGATGAGGAAGATATGAGAGAAAGAGAGATACTCAAGGGTCATATCTTGCAGCACAAGAAGTATCTGAACTGCTGAAAATTGCATGTTCTCCCACAGCTACAGATTGGCCAACCCTTGTTTAAACTTACTGAACAGAAAGTCTCCTCTCAAACTGTAACTCTTAAACTGCATTCTCATGTGCTGATGTATACTTCTTAAAATTGAGAAATTCAGTTAAGAAATGCTTACCTGGAAAAGGTAAGTAAAATAAAACCACGTTCTCCTCTGATTCAGTAAGATGAATCCCACGCACTAACCACCCACTAACAGGCTGCGTAAGAGACTTGTGCCCCGGATCTTAAAAAGCCCGATTAGTTCTGATCACAGTGTATAAAGCTGGACGAAGGACTCAATGGGAACAAACATTCACAAAACAGAAGACCAAAGAGGGACAACAAGATCCCTCAGGGATTTTGGTCCTTCCAGAAATGTACCCAGCTCCTCAGCTCTGGTTAAGCTTTCAATCGGAGGCAGAAATGCTTGGCTTTACTCCCAGCGTCTGCAGACTCTGTCATACCGTATTTGACCTTTCAAGGCAGGAACGGTTACATAAAGGGTTGAATTGTTGTTTATCTGATGCCCGAGAGCTTGCTGTTGTGTACTGGAGCAGTTCTGAAAGTGCAGCCCTTTCCCTTCCCGACAGGGCAGGTGGGAAAGGACCTGCAGAGCCCCTCTAGGAATTCCTTGCTCAAAATGGTATTTCCCTGCAAAACCTGACAACACCTGTATGCCACAGGCTCTTCATTAATCACTTTCCAGTTACTAGGTATTTAATTTAGACCATCAGGCTACTCACTTTCAGCCTGCTCTTTTTGTGTAAAAATTGTTTTTCAAAGCATTGCTAGAATAATGAGTTTATGTAGTACAACCTCCTGCTCAAAACAAGGCTAACTTCCAAGTTTGATCAAGTTGTGCAAGGCCTTGTCCAGTCGAGTTTTAAAAATCTCTAAGGATGGAGACTCCACAAGCTCGCCCTGCAACCCCTCTAGTGATTAACTACTCTCTAGCTGGATAAAGGCGGGGGGGGGGAGATTTGGAGTGAATTTCCCTTGCAATTTGTGACTGCTGCCCCTTGTCTTTCCACTGTAATACAAATTCTGTCTCTCTCTTCTCTCATCCACCTTCTCTTTAGGTAGTTGAAGACAACAACTAGATGAAGCTTAGAGCAGCTCCAGATGAAACTCTGTCTTTATCTGATAAAAGTAATACTTTCATATAAGATTGAATTTATCTGGGACAGTCAACGAAAGTAACTGCTTTCAGTATAGTGCAAGGTAAGGTAAAGAATTTCTTTGAAATACAACTGTTAGCTAAAACCTACCTCCTTAACTATGTTGTGGGCCTCATCAGCATTGAAGATCATCTGTAATAAAAATTAATTATTATTATTTGATAGAAAAGTAAACAAGTGATGCAGTTTTACTCTAAGTAACACGTAATGATCAAGCCCTGTGGCTGGTTATTTGCATTGTGTAGTCTGTTCGTATAACGCTAAAATCTTCCTTTTTTTCCCCAGCACCATACATACGTTACTTAGTGTGGTTTTGCTAGTCATATTTGAGTGGGTCCAAAAAGCTCAGTCCTCTGTGAGCTTGGAAGCAGGTTCAATTTACACTTTCTGTAACGTTTAAATTCCACCACTGTCTGTGCTTGTCATGGGAATATTCTCCAAGACAAAAAGTTAAATGGCAGATCTTCTCCTCTGGGTCTTAGCCTGGGTTTTTACTGGAGTCACGGATTTACTAAGCCATGGGTTGCATCTTGCTGCCAAATGGTAACACAAAGTTTTGCAACCCTGGTATCAAAAAGACTGGTTGCCACAGTCATTACCTTACCCAAGTAACTTTCTCAAGTGCAGAAAAATCTTGCAAGCTTCGATGCCTCCTATTTTCTGCTCATTCCTACCCATCAGCATTTAGCTCGGCTTCCAAAGGAAACACGGCACGCACGGTTGTGCCATCTGCCTCTTCACAGCGACTAATTTCAAACACTTGGGCACGGACAGAAACCTCAAGGGCAATAATGTCTCTACGAGCATTTTTTTTTTTTTAAGGAAAACTGGTGGCTGGAGACCGGCTGGAAGGCCCGTGGGCAGGGAAAGGCTCCTCAGTTCTGGCAGGCAGGGATCAGCCTGCAGCGCAGACCGGGCCCAGCACTTGTAGGTTGTTGGGTTTTTTAGGGTTTTTTTTTTTTCCTTCCAGGGGTGAGACAAGAAAAATGGCCGCAAACCGAGAGCACCGGGGCGGGCGGCAGCACCCCCCAACCCCGCTTCCACTTCCCCTCGCACGAACTTCCAGCTCCCAGCGCTGGAACAGGCTCTCCGAAGACCGCGGGCAGCCCCGAGCCGGGCCCCCAGGTACCGCACGACCCCCGAGGGTGCCCGAAAGGACGGGGAACCGCAGGTCCCCGCTCACAACCCGCCCGTACAACTGCCGCCTGCCACCGGCCC